AGCCAAACAAGGAACAACTTGTGTTTGGCTCGTTAAGTTAACAAGCCGAACAAGAACACACTTTTTGTATTCGAAATATAAACGAGTCAAGCATGAACAAAGATATTTTTTAACGAGTGCAACACGAGCTTAGCCTGAGCTCTCTTGTGTTCGGCTCGTTTACACCCCTACTGACAGAAGAAGAAAAATTGATGGTGGCGGCCCTGTGTTTAAAAGAGAATGCTCTAGCGTGGTATCAATGAAGAGAACAACGTCAGCCAACTAGATCATGGGAAGAATTTAAGGACCGATCGTTGGAGCATTTCAAAATCAAACGGAAAAGGAATTTACATGAACAATTTTTTGCACTAGACCAGGAAGGAACAGTCATGAATTATAGAGGAAAATTTGAGATATTATGCAGTTGTTTGAGATGAATACTAGAATAAATGTTGGAAGGAAACTTCATGATAAGGTTGAAGCCAAAGATTCAAGCAGCACTTCGTCTGCTAAAACCGAGAGGATTGGGGGAAACCATGGAATTAATACAGTTGGTTGAAGATAAAAATGCAATGGAACATGCTAATAGGAGCAGCATAAGTGGAGTTTCATGCTGAAATATTACAACCACGATGATGCTAAAAATTTGAACAGTGGAAGTCTAGAGGAAGGCTCCACGAGACAAGAATAATGGACCACGACCGAGACGACATTTAAACGTCTAACAAAGGTTGAGATTCAGAAGAAATGAGTTAGGGGTTATGTTTTCGGTGTGATGAGAAGCTTGCACTAGGACACCGCTACAAAGATCGGACAGTATAGGCTTCCACAATGTATGATAGGGAGACGTAGGAGGAAGAAAGAGGATTTTGTGGTGGAAGGCGAGGAACCCCCAATCTTGGATGTGGCACTAGTCTCATTGAACTCGGTGGTGAGGTTAACACTGAATCACAATAAAACTTCAAAGACAAATTGGAAAGCAAGCCGTAGTAGTGTTGATAGATAATGGGGCCACCCAAAACTTCATCTCTACTCAAGTAGTGAAGCAATTGGGGCTTGGGATGGTTGGCATGAAAAGTCTTAGAGTCATGATGGATGGGATAGGTGGAGAAGAGCAGAGGAATTTGTAAAGAGGTGATTATAATACTACAAGGTATTCAGGCGATGAAAGATTTTAAGAAGCACTGACATAATATTGGATATGAAATGATTGCAATCATAAGGGGAGATAGAGATGAATTGGAAACTCCTGACAATAGAGACAATATGGGGTGCTTTGCGGCGACCCTAGTTTGTGCAAAATCTTGTTGTCAGCGGATCCATCAAAGGTGGTGGCCATGTTGAAGTAGAAACTACCTAAGACTAGACATTGAGAGGATTCTGGGACTTACAGGATACTACTGAAAGTTCTTGAAGAGTTACAATTTGATTGTGTGGTCATTGACTGAGAAATTAAAGAATGATAAATTTCAATGGAGGAAGACGACGGCCCGGACTTTTGAGAAGTCAAAAAAGGCCATGATAGTGTACAATGTTAGCGTTACCCAGTTTCAGCCAAAATTTCAGGATAAAGACGGATGCTTCAGGCTATAGATTAGGCGTAGTCCTCATGCAATGTGAACGACCATCACTTATTTCAATCAAGTGCTGACGCGAGAGCCAGAATCAAGTCAATTTATGAGTGGGGGCCATATGACTTGATCTAACATGAGTTTCCTCTTACACCTTGAGGAAAATGTCATTTTTGGATGAGAGCAATGTTAAATCGATGTCTAGTGCTCCAATGAGTCGCCGTCTAGCCTGCCAAAATAGTTTAAAGACTTGTGTTAGACGTACGACTAAAAATGGGGCAATTTAATCATTTATTAATTATTATTGTGGGATATAAATATGGCTAATATATTTAGAGCTATGTCAAGTTGTGCAATTGTTATCTTGAATCTTACGGTTTTTTCAGCAATTGTTAGCTAGTAATATATTAATCTTTGTCAAAGTTCATCTCTTTCCTATCAAATTAATGCAACTACTTCCTCAAGATACAGTTCATCATCATTATTTTATAGCTTAGGTACAGACTCATGATCATTTCCATATGCATCCTCAATTGGTGCAATCCATAATTTTAAATGGTCCGATGGTTGTTGTATTTTTGCTTGGATTTGTAATTGTGGAAAAATCTCTTGTATTAATTGAACAAGCTATGTGATACAACAAACATGTTTCTTTCGTGTTTCGCAAATGCTGGCTTGGACCCAAAAATATGAGTGAAGCATGCTAATCAAAATAATAATAATGTTGATGGTAATATGACATAATTTTGAGAGAACAAAATTATATACAATTGACAGTGGATTTTTAATTGTAGTGCACCAAAAACCTAGAAGAAAGCATCATAATAATACTGGTAAGATTTCAAACTATTAGCAAAATCAACAAGATAATTGTATGTCTTGAATCTCATCATCTAGAACTTGCAATTAATAATTTCTCAAATAATAATATCTTAGGCAAATTTAAATCATATCACAAATATAACTTCTCTTAGTAGATGCTTGTGATCTATATGAAACATATCAACAAAATAATGATAAAAATTCCATAATGAATATGTAAATTTGAGTAATTCCAGAGGCAATGTATAATATTTATGATTCATTTGCAATAAATCAGGTCTAAATCTACAACAATTCAATATCCTCAGATACTTTGATGCATGGTAATAGTTGAATAAATTCACAAAGCTTTAAATCAAGAGTTAAGAGCCTAATAAAATCATAATATGATGCCAAGATGAGAGCATGTTTTGATCAAATAAAAAATGATGAAAATAAAAGTGAATAGCTTGTAAGAGGAATGTTTGCTTCCAATGTTCAAAAGCAAGTCGCACCTAACATGAGTTAAGCACTGTGGCTAAGCTAGAGGAACAATGTTCTTAAAGGAACTAGGAGCTCTCAACTCGACATGACCCAAAGTGCCATGCGCCAACCAAAATCATTAGCTGAGCAAAGTGATGTGCTAAAAAGTTTCATATATTTTAATAATGAGTAATGCTATCTGAAAAGTATGACAAGATAAAGTATTAAAATGTAGCAGGCAACAAAATGCCTTTCCAAATTTTGTGATACTCCGATACAAAATGGCAAAAATTTATCATATAGATAACTTAAAACAAACTACCATCCATAATTTAAGGAAAATCTAATGTGCACCACCATCTATTTCATCTTCACCATTACCTATAATTTCTTTTTCATGATTAAATTTATCCTCTATGCCTCATATTATGATTGCATATAACTTAAAAATTTATAAAAAATTTTGCATCACAAAGGTGACTTCCCGAACACCTAGCTCTCTTTTAATAAAATTGAGATCAACAACTAAGATAGCAGCTAAATAGGAGCATCGGGACCCTCAAGTTGAGTAGCATGATAAGACTAGACCTCACTAAAAATGAGGTCAACAACCACGTTATCAACAACATGGCACTGTGGTCGTGAAATGCTAGAGTGGCACCACGTTATCGACAACATGGCACTGTGGTCGTGAAATGCTAGAGTGGTCAGAATCTGTCAAAAATAAGTGTTGTCGATGCGATTAAGATCGAAGGATTTGTTGAGCATGAAAAAGATGTGTTCTATGAACAGGCTGGAGGATATTAATAGGATAAGACAGCTGTCAGGGTAACGAGAGTCATAGGTGAGGCCCAATGAGCTAGTTGCACAAACAAGATCAGGATAGCTTATGGGAGGCACACGAACAAGAGCGCTCCAAAAAGCTATAGTAAGTGATGTTTGATCGATGGAGCCATGTTGTGTTATAACAGCAAATATGAGAGTGGATGGACAAAGATAGTTTGACAATGAAAGATACAGAGTAGGAGAGGGAAGGAGAATACATAATTAAAGTTTGGGGCCAAGAGAGATGAAGACCAAAAGACAATGATAGCATACAGCTAGGTTAGGCAAACCTTAATATTTTATTATCAATTGAAATTATCAAAACCCTAACACATGATCTCCTTACAAAGATAGGTGCCATGATTAATTATAAATTGTCTAATAAAATCAGAGATTGATGAAACACAATATAAAATTGTGAAAATAAGCTGATTTTATTGTTCTACACCCCAAAGGCATATGATGAACACGTTTAATAACCATCTTAGAGAAGCATTAGCCCATTAATTTATGTCATACTGACATATCCGTCTCTATCTAAGAAAAGTATGAAAAATATATAATAGAAACTAGTCTTCTTCATCATTTATATCAGGATTAATTTGCAACAAGACTTCTCTAGGTATGCAAGAGTTACCATTCCTCAATATCACAATCACGGGAATCATTTGACATGTCCATCTACATACGAGAAATGTTTAAAAATTACACAGTAAACATTCTCCTTGGTCATCTACATCAAGAAAGGCCACTTCAACTAAGCATCAACTAAGCATGAGCGACAATTCCTCGTTATCACAATCATGGGAATTCTCAGTAATAATTTCCACATTAATAAAATATTCATTTCTATGAACAAACATAAAGAAGATAGTCAACTGTCCATTTCAAAATGGCAGCTGAATGCCAATTATTTTTTTGAACAAATCCAAATTAGTGTTGAAACAGAAACAAATAGGACTCATGAAACCTCTAGCCGAGCTTGGACCAATAATTGGGCCAGCTTTCTGGGCGAGGACTCGAGTTTTTGTTTGAATTATTGGTCAAGTTGGCCAAATCAATAAATATATCAAATTCCACATAAACAAAAAATTCATACACCAAAACTAGCTATTACATAGGATTTGGCAGGTAATCTTGGGCTAATTTGTGATTGAAAACCAAAGAAAAGCTAGTTTAGGTCAATCAAACTGGTTTGAGACATGAGTTCAAACCTAGGTCTTACTTCTCTTATGTAATGTTGCATAATTCTTGCCCAACTCGTGGCTTATTTTAACTTTAAAAGCCCATCATTTTGAATTATCAAATCTTATATGTACACCATACAAATAAAAAATGTACCTGAGAGCAATCACGGGAATGCATTGGTTGAAATGAGAACACATCAATATCATTAACAACCATCTCTTTCAATTTCTGCAAATTAAAAAAGCAAGAAACACTAAGTTCAGAAAGAAGACAATAAAGTTCAAAATAACAAGTATTTGTGGTCAAGACTATCTCCCCTAGATATTGAAAACAATGAAATCGAGTAAATTTCATCTTAACCAACCCAGTCATATAAGCTTATGCATTCCACTTAAATTATTACAGCTAAACATAGATTGCACCATAAAAATAATTGAAACAAAGAAAGCTTGTGATTAAATGAAGTTTTTTTAGTGGAATAATTTGGTTTTGGTTTTATATATTACAGGAATCAACCTCCTGCTATATGGAAATAGTTTAGTACAACGCATATGTGGGCCTTAAGCTTAAACAACAGACAAATATATTTGTCGCTACTACGAATAAAACAAAAATACAGATGGCAAATGGTAGATTGTGTTCCTAAATAAGATTGAGCATATCAACAATAAATTTATAGAAATATGAACATGGAAATGCTTAGAGTTTAAGCTTCCACGATCATATTACTATGTAATAGTATAAAATTCGAACATTTCTGCATGCCCCTTATTAAATAATACAAAAAATAAGAGTAAAGATGACATAAATTAACAATTCATATGTAATACCCAAAACACAAAGTCTAGAAAATTAAAATACATATCCTTACCTTATTTATTTGTTCTAGGTCAACACCACGATTGATCATACGCTGTCTACGTTTCATGGCAATGAGTTCTTTACCGTGCTTCTTTTTCCCTCCTGAACAAAAAAATAATATTTACAAAAATTTTTGCAGTACTAAGGATAAAAGTTAAAATGTTAATGTGTTTGTTTAGGGAGTGTATTAACCCTAAACTATATTATTCCTCTCAAATAGCTCGGAGGGAAACTAGAGCAGCACCTCTGCCTACAAAGAAAATGAAACTGAATAAGGAATAATTAAAAAACATAAAAAGCTGCAAGACTACATTATGACGTGGAAGTAAGACTACGTTAGGGTATGGATATGGCTCTGTGATGAGGCCAAGGGCTACATGAAGTTAATTGTTTTATTTGTAGGATTGAATAGAGGATGGGCTCAGTTTTGATGATTACAGGGGGTTGGCTGAAAGCTTGAATAGATGAATAAGGATTTAGCTAATGAAGGAAAGGAGTGGAAGATTGTGGAAGAGGGTTGCTTTAGGGTATAGTGAGAAAGCCAAAATTTAGTTAACTCCTTATAAGGGCATTAAGTATTGGATAGACGAAAGAGGAAGAGAGCTTATGGTGTTGAAGATTAGAAAAATGAGTTTGAAGGAAAGAAAGAAGGGGGCTAAGGGGTAATGGAACTAGGGTTTCAAAATAGCTTATTGAGAAGAAATCCTCACCTAAGCAATTCAACCAAGAAGAGTCCGCCAACTTGTCCAAGAGAAAAGATAGAAACTCCAATTGTTGATACAAGCAAGTGATGATGAATAATGCACTACTAGGTATGATACCCAATTGATGCATTTAAACAATTTTGCTTCAAGCAAACAAAAATGCATCTAACCAACATGATAAAATTATAAGTTGTTGTATCAGATTAATATAGAATGAATAACGATTAGGGTTCCTGATGCAATTAATGTGATGTAGCATGATTTCATGCAGGAAAAATTGAGGATTCACAACACAAGTTATCAGTTAAATCAATGGCTTTCTTTATTTAAATATAATCAAGCAATACTACAGTTTAAAATAACTAATCATGAAATGGACAAAATAATTGAGAATTTTAACAAGAACTCGAACACAAATAAAACCAGCAAGAAAATAAACTATTTTTCCAAAACTAAATTTCAAACATATAACACTTTTTAACAAAAGCAAAAGCAGTAAACTAGACACAAAAACAAATTAGGTGGCAATGAATCAGGAGCAAATTAATCCATTAACAAAAAATCAGACCTCGCATCAATACAATAAGATGACTTCTTCTAGAACTAGATAATCACACTGTATAGAACTAAAATGAACTGTACTCACAGGATTGAAAATTTGAATATAGAAATTTTATTCAAGTCCAAAATTTCTAAATTCCCCATCTCTGGCTACCATTTATCAACTCCTCATAAATTAAGCAAGTAAAGAAAGTTGATACGGAATCAACTTAATTCAAATTTAAATTAATTTTCAAGAATAAAAGAATTTCCATTTTAATTTTAAAATCATAAATCAATGAGAACAGCTGCAAGCCCAATTTAAACTTCCCAAATCAATAAAACATTAGCATTCAAACAAACAACACATGCATGCCCTAATAGTAGTAAAGCCACAAACCTCAGAATTCTCAATTTCACAAGATGACCCTCCCAAAAGAATTAAAATGCATCAAACCCAAGCACTTGAAGCCACCAGTGCAACCAATGGGATCATTCAAGCATGAAGATGACAAGTTGCAGGAACCATAGCTCTTGCCTATGCAAATCCTATAGCCACACCACCGCTCATTTACCATACCACAACATTAAGATGAGACGTGTCATTCTATTTTAACTTTTTTATTTCAATTAAAGATATGATTTTTGAGTATAAGCCATTTGAGAAATTATGTAATTTATCATATAGCTAGTGTTTCAAAAATTATGACTTCCAAAAGTGTATTCAAATTTTTAATGTTTTGATTGACAACTGAAAGCCTGAATTGTGGAAATTGTTTATTTTCAGCAATCCTAAAGAAGTTTAAATAGGTTTGGTTATTATTTATAATTCAAATATCACAACAAATTCTTCACAAATCCAAGTTCTTATTAAAAAATGCATACTTCCTTAACAATATTTGATATTTTTTAAGCATAAAACAAATTTTTCATAATTTTTTTAAAAAATGTAGCTTTTTGGAGCACATACATCAAGACTCATGTGCAACAACACATCACTGACTGATGTGTAAAACATCACAACGTGCAAACCATTATAGGAATAGTAATATCTAGTTTAAACAATGGTTAGTTTGACATGTACATGAAATTTTGGGATTTGAGTAAAGGGAAAATTATCCACATTTATGGACACGAGTTCTTGAAAAAAAAAATGTTTGGCACTCATTTTAACTACGGGAATGGGAGAAAATGTGATCAAGTGTTCTACTAACTTGACAGTTTTCTAGTTTTAATTCAATTCACTTCCTTGGGCCACTGCAATCAAAGTTTTCACTCCACTCAATCCTTTTTTTTTTTTTTCAACAAAATTCTTGCAAGGGATTGTGTGTTACTTCTCGTCTCCATTTGTCTTTGCATTTGCCAAAATCTAGAGAGATTTTGGAGTATTTACCTTTTAAATAATGAAACAGTGGATTATTCTAACTCAAATAGATAAATACGAGTGGTTATAACCCGAGTGTGTAGAAGAGTGTGGACTTTACAAAGACATCATGGTCTACTAGACGATAAGGAGGGTTAGCGGAATTTCTAAGAAAAAGGTGATTAGAAAATAAATGTAGACGATTGGAGCCAAACCAAATAAAATCCTTGATTTTTCTTTGTTTACCCTTTTACTTATTTGTTCTTTACAATCAAGCTTATGATATGATTCCGATAGTTACATGTGCATGTGCAAGTTTGATTGAGGCGAATTGCAATATTGTGCTTAAAGCTTAGATCACTCCCTAGTTTGTATAATATCTATGGCTCACTTCATAGATTTTATGTGTAGTTGCAAATTGTTAAATGATTAGGTCCATTGTGATTGAAAATTTAGGTGAATCAAAAGAATTTGTAAAAGCTCTAAAAGTGATATTTAAAACCCAATGAATCCCCCTTCATGTGGTGTGTTAGCACCCAACACTTCACCAAGCACAGCCACTTGAATTGTGAAATACCTTTATTGAAAAACTGATCATGTTTCATAGGTATTCTCCTCATTCAGGTTTCAATTACATGATAAAAGCAACAACATCAAGAAACTTGGTTCATCAAATAAAATTAATCAACAAATAAATATGTTCTACATCAAAAACCCGTTTTTAGTAAGAGGTTTACTAGTTTCTTCTATGAATACATAGTAGTTTCTAAGGAAAATGATCTGTGAAACGTTTCCTTTCCACAACTAAATCTTTCTTCTCTTTTATTTTATACATATTCATTGATGATTTCATATTTGGTTTTTGACAATGGTATTCAATGTTTTAGATTTTCCCTTTTTCAAATGATGATTCGTAAAATTTACTATTTACCCGTAAGAGTTTGATCTTAAATTGATACTGTCCTACAACCAACAAAAAGTACTAGATGTTGGCAATGGAAGTTCACAGCCGCATGAACTCCAACTACAGAACTACATTTAAAGATTCAGTTAAGGATAATTAGAAATGCAAAATGTGAAGCTATATTGATAAAAAACTACAAGCATGTTGGATCAATTCATCTAATTGTAAGTATTTGAATCTAGTCACGAAAGTGGACTACATTAAAGTGAATTGCAGTGATATATATTTGTTCTGTAACAACCACAATTCTAATGAATTTTATTCTTAAGTTTATTTGGGATGCAGTTTTCTTGTTTTAACCCACCCTCCTAATAATTTTTCAATTTCTTATTATCATATGTTAAAAGTCATCATCGCAATTATTCAATATTATTCTACTGCTATTAAATGAAAAAGAGAAAAACTTTAGATTGAAATTCACTTCTAATATTTTTTAAGGTTAATTTCAAGAATAAAAACTCAACTCCATTATTTTCAACAAAAACAAAGCATAAACTCAAATAAGGAAACGATATCCAGTCATTTTGGAACACTTACAATGAATCAACTGACCATTGGTGCCTGTGCATTCCTATCCATTTTCAAATGTTTAAAAAGACAATTTTTAAAGTGTTTATTGACTAAAAATAATGCTATCCCTGCTAGTTTTGGCGATACTTTTTCTGAAAGTGATGTTCACAGAAATCATAAGGCAATAAAATGCTAACTGCATCTAGCATATAAAGGTAACACTGCATACTTACGAAGATGTTGATCTATGTATGTTTCTGGCAGGAAATCTCTTACAATTGTGATTATTAAAAAGATGGATAAATAAAGCACAAACACTTAGCAGAACCTCAGAATATAAAATTTCTAGCAAAAAAAAAAAATAACAGAGAAATTTCTTTCGTTTTCCAATGCTAGAAACAATTGTGCTTTAAAATTACCTGGAAATTTATCATACTTTCTGCTTTTCCGAGCCTCAACAGGCCACGATCGAGAAAGTTGAGACAGCTGCCGTTTATGTTTCCCCCTCCCTGCAGCTGTTCTAGAATCCTTCACAAACAAGAAGTCTTCCAATCCTGAGACATCAATGTCCACAATGGGCGAGCCAAATTGACGAGGCCTTATACCTTTAACCTTCCTGGAACTTGGCTTCTTCATGCCATATTCCATCGAGGCATTCATCAAAGCATTTGCCCCAAGCTTACTCCCACCTCCTTCTTTGGCCCTACCATCACTTCTTATCAAACCATCCTTAGCAGACTCATCCAAGCTAGCTGCCGTCAGCCACTGCGCGTTAAGCAGCTCCAAACTACCTCCGACGCCTTCCAAGTAATCTTCTGCCAATTCGTCGTCAATATCAGAATCAGAATCCACATATGAAGAACCATCCGATGAATCATCATCTTGCTCTTCGGCGTCAGAAGAGTTTGACTCATCCGAACAAGAGATTCTTCCCGCACATGAATCGCTACTCTTGCCATCATCGTCGACTCCGTCTTCTCCATCTTCTGAAGACGAAGTATCCTCAGTGTAAACTCTCACACCTCCAATCATCAAAAAGCTGTCTTTTTTAATCACCGGTGTCGAATAGGAATCCAAGCAATCCATCTCATCTCCCTCGTCGGATTTTACAGCCATAGCTTCCCCCTCATCCACTCCTTCACCAACATACCCCAGTCCCACGCCGCCAACGATTGAATTATCGTACTCATAGGAAGGAACATCGACCAACTGATCGCCTTGAGAATCCCGACCAACGAAGGGAGCAACGATGGTCTCTTCGCCAGCACCAACAGTCGCGCTAACTTCAGGGTAAGTGTATCTGAAAGCCTTCCCATGAAAGTGGGACTCGTTCTTCGTGCTACTTCCAGTTTTTGTTGTAGATCCTTGATGAATAAAAGAAGTTAGGTCAGCGGAGACAACGGCTTTACCACGGGTTGCTGTGCCGCCGTGAGTAGAGTTACCCTTGCCGGGCCTCCGCCTGCCTCCATTTCCGCCGCCCATGACTTCCGACTTCAGTCACGGAGACCTGTGTGACCAGTGCAAAAATCAACGGCGCAATCGGAGTCTCGGAGAAAGGGCGGTCGAATACGGCGCTGCAAGACAGCCGCTTAGGCCGTCCGGAAGTAGCCAGCTAGTATTTTATTAGGAGTATTTTAACAGAAATTTTTTTTGTTGTGCCTCTAATTTGTTGCTGAACTCTCGGCCAATACATTTTCTCTTATAGATTTCAGCTGCTGAA